ATGGATGGATGGATGGATGGATGGATGGATGGATGGATGGATTGAAAGTGGATGGATGGATGGATGGATTGAAAGTGGATGGATGGATGGATAGGGTGATATGGAAAGAATGGAAGAAAATATATACACATCATATACCTACCAAAACCTTACTTTTCCCACTAAATCGTCTGTCCAGGTAAAGCCTTGATATCGGCATGCCAAAATTATCGTACAAACGTTCAATACACTTCTCCTGTCTAGTGACCTTAGGGAAGAACTTGAACGATCGAATAAAATAATTCTTGTAGATATTTGTGTAGTCCTTACTGAGCTGAATATAGTGTGTCTTGACAACCCGCCAAAGAAAGTAATTTGACATTAACCTGAACGAGGAAAAAAAAAGACGGATCCCGTTTCAAATTTGGAAACAAAGATAACTAGATAGGTTGGAGTGCCGTGTACACCAAATACAATCAACTCTAGCCTTGCGGCATCCCGATATTACGGACACATCGTTATTGCAGTTTGCATTTTACTTCTTCAGGATCCTCCCAAGAGAATGAAATAAAAAAGCAACATGGCGGTCATATTAGTTGATATAAACAGAGAATTTGGTTGCGAAAAGTTATGATTACTAAATAGTTTTTTTTGTTAAATAATTCAAAAACAAAGATGGCGGCTAAAAGGCATGGTTGCTTTTCATCATGCCGGAAAATTACGTAGCATGATTTCGTTCTACCTTTTTGAAGTTTTAGCGATGATTTTGTTCACTTTTATCAGGTATTCCAGGGCATATACCACGATCTCCTTGTCTTCGTTGATCTCGTCATGGGATTTGTTGAACACTCCTTGTAAGAATTCCAGCCATTGGATCTATTAACAAGAATTGAATGATAAGTATTTTGGTTTTAAGTGCTATAAGGGAGCAAAGCTGACACGTGGGACTGAATGACTGATTGACCAAACGACCGACCGACGGAACGACCGACCGACAGAGTGAAAGACAGAGCGCACGGGACAGAGTGACGACAGAGTGACCCAACAGACTAACAGATTGTCTGATCATAGTTAATTAAGGGGAATCCAATATGGTCAAATTCGATAGACATTTATTCAAAATATATATAAACTTCAAAGATGAAGAAAACCTTACCTACCTCGTTTCCTGTGATGTTTTGCAGCTGTCGTATTGTCATTTTCTTGTATCTTTGGTTCATATTGGATAGCATATTATGAGGAGTAATAATCTAAAGGGAAAAAACACATAGACATTACTAACATGTGAAATGGCATATATCCTTATCAATCCAAATTCTTTTTCTTCTTTCCTGCTTTCTTTCTTTCTTTCTTTCGTTCGTTCGTTCGTTCGTTTCTTTCCAGTTTTCTTTTTTCCTTTTTTTTGTTTGTTTGTTTTGTTTGTTTTTTGTTTTCTTTATTTCTTTGTTCTTTTTCTTGTTTTCTTTTCTCGTTTTCTTTTTTTCCTCAGCTTCTTTGTTTCTTTACTCCAACTAAGTAACTCTTTGTTTATGATGATTTGGGCACAACTTATTGCATACGCTCTATACAGCATAAGCATTCATTCACTATTAGRAATAATTTCAATAAACTGCTACTGGCTAGCTTTACTTAGGCCTCTCCCAAATTCGCTTGAGAGATCTCAAGACTACAAACCAATGAACTTATTAAAAAGATTTATTAATTGATGGATTGATTTGTTTATCAGTAATATCATATTTAAACAGGAAGCCCATGTCTTCAARGGAGTTATTCAATGGGGTCCTAGTGCGTAATTCATCCTTCAACTTTACTTATCAAATCCAAACTCATCTTGGGAACCATTGCTTCTGGTCACTCGAGCAAATTCGAGAAAGGTTTTTTGAAGTAAACATAACCAACCTTGGAAATTTCTCGTTCAAACTCAAACAGTTCGATCATATCCTTCTCGGACTGWTTATCACCCCCTAGTACTCTGGATAGGTTCATCATGAGTTCTTTGTACGCCTGGCGCATCTGCAAGCAAAAAGCATTGATAAAATAACTTAGTTATAAAGCGCCCTTTGATTGGTCAAAATACTTCTGTCATCATTTATTTTCGCTCGCTCGCTCTGACTGTTAAACATAAGACATTTTTTGAAAGATTTGTGGGCTTGTTATTTTCATCCAAAACTTTTATCTAAATTTCCTTTTTTTGGTAGGGCAGGGTTTTTTTGTTTCGGTAGGGTGTAAAGCGCCTTTGATAATATCCACATATTAAAGGGCGCTATATAAATCATAAATCATAATCATAATCATAGGGTGAGGGGAGGGGGAGGGGAGTGGGCATTTGAAGAAACAATTTTAATAGACTAGTTTATATTTGACTTACTCTTTCGTACATSGACGAGTTTACGAGAAATGCTCTCGGGGATAACGTCCCTACATATGCCTGCTCAATCTGGATAACAAAAACAAATCTAGAACATTAGAAATTTGCGTACACCCATGGAATATCTTACCATTTAGGTGTTTACGTGTCATTCCCATAGTATCACTTTGTTTGTAACGGCTGCGCATGAGAGACACATGAATATGGATACAACTCAAATAAAAAATTTTATTCTCAATGACACTTGGTCTGAGATGGGAAAACATTACGCCCAAGCTAAAGAGGTCTACTCCTCTTCTCCTGGAGGTGAAAACCTAACTTTTATAGATCAGCTAGCTGGTCACTGATCTGCAGTCAATTATGAGATCTTGGCGTGTATGAGACAGAGACCAGCGTGACACACCATCACCCACCATGGCTCCCGAGGAGACTCGACATATGATGATGACGATTCCTACTCACGTTAATGACGTTAAAAGAACTATTCTTCAAGTCCAAATCCACAAACACTTGCACAAAGGGAGAGGCGTCCAATTCTCTGTGTGCCAAGACAAAATTGCTCATAAAATCCCACTTGGAGACATTCCATGATTTGTCGATGACAGCCCATCCACCATATTTYCTCAACAGTTCTTTCAACGGYTCGCCTCCAAGTCGCTCRATTTCTGCTTTGTTCATGCAGGAGTCGTAGTAAAGAAGAGCCTTGGTTATGGCATCGTCCTGTGAATAAATAACACAATATACGCCTTTGAATCATTCATCTATACATCCTCTGAGTTGATCTAAGCCAGGGCAAGGCTAGCTCACAGATCGAACCCTGAAACTGAACCTCTTGGATGATCTAAGCCAGGACAGGGCTAGCTCACAGATCAAACACTGAAATAACCTCTGGGTTGATCTAAGTCAGGGCATGGCTAACTCCCTGATCAAACCCTGAAACAACCTCTGGGCTGATCTAAGTCAGGGCATGGATAACTCAAAGATCGAACCCTGAAACAACCTCTGGGCTGATCTAAGCCAGTGCACGGCTAACTCACAGATAGAACCCTGAAACAACCTATGAGCCGAACCCGATATGAGAGGCAAGCACACTAACCGCGACGGCCCCCTTGTTTCCTCAAACTTACATTYGTCATTTATTTTCACTTACGTTTGAGTAGAAAGCTCGTATTTCTTTGCTGTTGATAAGGGTTTTCATCAGATCGTTGTTTTCTTTGGTAAGCTTCGTAAACTGATTCCATTGTGGTTTCTCAGAAGGATTCTTTTTCACCCATCCACCGCAGGCATACTGGTAGAAATCATCGCATGGGTTTACCTTGGGGTCGATAGAACTGAAGAGTTCTACAAGTAAATTAATACGTTTAATGCAACAATACAATWCTTTTATTTGGCATTTCATACTATAACAAGTACTTAGGTGGTAATCCAAATATGATTATATAGGAGACTAATCTCCACTCATAAGTTTACGATTTTGGTTTCTAAAAATGGGGAAAAAATTGACAAACAGTATCTTCCTGCAAAGTAATCAGATTAACAAATTGCCATCAGATTTTTATGTGTCTGTCCTCTTATTGACAATAAATTGCGTCATCACATTGTCAAAGTAGTGTGGATCCGCATAGTACTTTGACAATGTGATGGCGAAATTTATCGTCAATAAGAGGACAGACATAAAATTCTGATGTCAATTTTTTTTTTTTTTTAAATAACAAAAACGATAAAAACTTCTCATTTTTAGCGCTCGTTGACGTCAGCTTTATCTGTCTGTCCTCTTATTGATGATAAAAAATAACCAATCAGCGCGCGAGAAATTTGTAAGTTATTGTAAAAATCCATTTCTAAAACCGTAATATTCGTAAATTTCTGTCGTAACTACTTGAGCTCCTTATCAACTTTTCTATTCTTAATAATTAGTAATAATATATATATGTTTTATTGATACTATTGCCACAATTGATCTTTTTACTGCCGTGGCAAACTAAGAAAGTCTGATAAATCCTTAAGTCATGCCAAAGTGGCGCTATGAAGTAGTCATAAAATCTCGAGAACTTAACATTTTTATTGCGCGTAAGTTAAGCTGCCTGAGTGTTTTACTAGATGTTCAGATTAAAGCACGTTCGATGATTGCAAGAGGTCACGGAATGAAAAGCTACCTCACACACACTCGCATATCGTGCGTGACATTCAAGCGCGTGGTTATGGTAAGACTGTTGAGAGCTCGTTATCGTACGCGTGACTTGCCGCGGCCGTGATGTTTTCTAGGATTTTAATTGGGTGATTTCTTTCTYGKGSAATGTGATTGGTCTGGCAGTGGCGTGACCTTTGTGTTCCAGTGTCAGCGCCGTGTTGATGCGGTTTTTCCGCTYATTTGATTGGATGGASAGTAAATTCTCGTGCAATGTGATTGGACTGGCGAATKYCTTGCCGTGTCAWGACCGTATTCGTGCCGTGAGCTTTTMACAGTYATTACGAAAACGGCTTTTTAAGATGAACGATCGTAATGTAATTTTATTATCTAGTAGCCTCAAGAAAAGGTGTTGATGTCCTTACTTCCTTATTCCTTCCTCATTATAGTTTAATTACTCTCGCTCTCTTTCTCTTTTGTTCCCCTCTTCCTTTATTTATTTTTTCTTTTCCTCTTTCTTTTTCTTTAGTGTCCTTACTTCATTACTTTCTTCTTTCCTTTTACTTTCTATATTTACATTCCCCCGTTTCTCTCKTTTTCTTTCTTTTCCTCTTTCTTTTTCTTTCTGTCCTTATGACTTCTTTACTTTCTTCTTTTTTCTTACTTTCTATATTAACCTTCCTCATTCCTGTTTCTTCCTTTCCTCCTTTCTTTCTTTCTTCTTCTTTCTTTCAGTCTTTCTTTCCTTCCCTTTTTCTTTCTACCAATTCTACC